TTATAAATGTTAAAAGGTCAAACTTAAGGGAGCTGGCCCTGTAATACTTTAATCTACATGACCAACATGAGGGTGTATGAGCTAATTCAAAGATGGCACACTCTTCTTTGAACTAGAATAATAATTTTTTTTGTTTTTATTTGAGCAAATTTGGTTCTGTTTGGGGCAGCTGCAGCTTATTGAATAATCTGCTGATAAACTGATTAAAAATAATTTGCCGATAAGTTAGGTGCGATGACTACTAAAAATTTTTATTTTTTTGGAATAGTCAGACCATAGACAGAAAGCTACCACAACATCTATACAGGTGCGGTGTGAAAATGCTATTTTCAACATTTTAAAAACAGATAAACTGTCAAAAACGCAGTTTACCCAAACAGGTCAGGTGCGTTTTCAAAACTGCACCGCACCAAATAAACTACCCCAAACAGACACTTAATTACAAACACACACCGTATATACAAAATTTTGAACTCCAAACTTCTTGATCTGTTGTCATAAGAGGCTAAGATGACTTGTATGATAATAATGATTTTAAATCTCCTCTTAACATTTTATAAACATTGTAAGATTGAGGGCATTATCCTAGTTTTATATGATAGAGAGACTTTACAATAAATTGATGTGGCTTTTACATGCATAACACACAATTCTTATAAATTTACCTATCTCATGCCAAAACTTTTATATTTACAAACATCATCATATAAACAATAACACTCATTATTATCTTTTAATAATCGAATCCATCTTTTCATCTGTAGATAAAGTGCTCAGTGTAAAAATAAAACCAGATGTGAGATACGTAAATCCATAAGATTTGTGTGACACCCTTCTAATTTTCCCTAAATTAATTCATCTAGAATTAATCATGGGATAATCAAGAGGCCCAAGGGTTTTGGGGGCACCCTCCATTGATACCCAATAATAAATTTCCTTTTTATTGTTACAATCAAAAGAAAATATTTCTATTATTCAAAATTCTTTAATATTATTAAACAAAAGAAAATTAAGTTTAAATTATATAATTTACCTATTTTTTATTATATCCATGAATCAAAATAGACTTCCTTGTATATTTTTATTATTTTTTATGATTTATTTGAGTTGAAAACTCACTTGTAGCAATTAGTTTAATTTCAATTTATTCCTTATTAAGAGAATTATATAATTATTCATCAATTCTTTATTGTATATAAATCCTCAATTTTTATGTTCTTGTTCTAATAGGAACATAAACTAAAGAATCAATAACAACAATCAACACCTGCGACTAGCATCATATAAGCTAGAAATATACAAACGAACTCAAAAGATAATGACATTACTCACGAAACAGAAAAATTATTCCATACGGACACTACATGCAGAAATGTATGCAGTGTCTGATCTCGATCACCGTAAAATATATTTCGGTGGGCCCACTTTTTTTAAAAAAAATTTGATCATATGTTGAAGATCGGTAATCGACAGTATAGATCAGACACCGCATGCATATATGAATAACTTTTCCACGAAACAACATCTAGAAAAACATCAGTCATCAAGCAACACAAAAAGACTGTTCCCAAGATTAATGATGATTAAAAGTTATACAATACATTGAAAGAAGGCCTTAAACGATATGCACAAATGTAATGATACAAAAACATATATGAACATTCAATATAGAATCAACATTATATCATGTAAAGCAAGATATAATGATCATTCAGAATATGTCGCTAAGGTTACAACACAATGTAAAGTGTGTGACAGAGTAAACTAAATCTAAAATTTATAATGTCATCATTATAACATGTTACGGTAAACCACATCTAGCAAAAAGATTTAGAGCACAATAATTTTTTTGGCACATTTACATACATAGCCGCATAACTTTTATGCATTTACACATCTAACACCTAAACATTTATAATCACAAGCATAACCATCAAATCATTATCATCATATTAAAAATATCACTATCACTACCTATTTTTAAAAATGAAATGCACATTTTCAAGTAGGTCCGAACCTCCATGCTTGTACGTGCCAATGGTCGTTACCCGATTGCCTTTGCTAGCGTAAACGAGCGATTTTTGTGGTGACTTTGGATATTTCTTCTGCCTCTACCTTGCTGACATCACAAATAGAATATTATATGCATAAAAGTATCAAACATATTAGATAAAAAATAATAATAATAATAACAATGATCCCAAATGATCCCTAAATCTTTGGAATCTTCATTTTGCACACTCGGTCTTCTTACATTCACAAACAAAGCTAATGCATAATGTCATCACCATAAAAATTGAACTACAATTTATAGATGACATGATGAATTTGTTATCATTACATTATTTACGGGTCAATTATTTAGCATAAAAAAAATCGCTAAAACTCGTAAAAATAATTTATTTCGAAATCAAATCAATATAGCAATAGTAAGAGTATAAGCTTCCATTATATCAAGATCAAGAAAACAACTGCAATGTTTGTGCACTAGCATAAAGATGTGAGATGTGCTGATATATAACAAGGAATTACATATCAATACAAAAAGAGTTATGCAATTGTAAATAAACAATCTATCAATTGAAATCATGCTCAACCCAAGAAAGAACATAAATAAAGGGACATTGACATACATACCAATCAATTTCTAGCTATTTACATATCTATCACCTAAATTTTACTTTTTACATTTATATCACTCGAAACTTTGATATCACGGCTTTGAAAAAGTGGAATATACCATTTTATGCATAGTTAAGGCGGCATATAAGTAAAAATTGAAGCTTAGGTGTTAGATATGTAAATACATAAGAATAGAGTGGTATGTATCTAGATCTTCTAGAAATATATCAGATTGTAAACATGAGGAAATCAGTTGAAGACATAATAACAAAAAGAGATTGTTATGTAGATCACATTATCAGTCTACTACAGAGACTGTTACAGTTTGCTCGTTCTCAACTTGTGTTCAGAGCTGCATTATCTTAGCATGCAGGCTGAGAAAAAATAGCCGTTAGCTGCTACAGGTCAGCGGTCACTGCACATACATCAACAAAATTAAGAGTTCAACACAATCAATTAGCTAAAAAAAGGGGGCATTTACATACATAGCACCAATTCCTATTCATTTACATTTACATATCGAGCACCTAAACTTTACTTTTTACATTTATAACCCCCAAATCTCTCACATCACACCAAAATACCATTACTTTAACTTAACCGTGAAAAAAAACTTTTCATGCACAAGGTGCATGCATGTAAAAATTGAAGTTTAAGTGTTAGAAATGTAAATACATACGAATAGAGTGGTATGTACGTAAATCTTCAAAGAAAAACATTTTAGTTGCAAGTACAAACATGTAGAATAAATTGACATAGCCCAACATGAAAATCACACGTGTTAGAAGCCAAGAAAATAAGCTAATTGAATAAACATTTGAAGGCCCATACAATTGAGCAGTAAGAAAAACAATAAATAATGAAAGACAAATATTTTGCAGGGCCATTAAGCTCTAATAAATTGTTTACTTGCTGCATGAATAGAAAACATCACAGGAGCTAATTGCATGACAGGAGTAAAATAAAGGCTCGAATCTAGGAGTCAGCTTGCGAGCAAGCGGCCTTCCTCTAGTTTTACCTAATACACCCATCCTAACTGATGCCTTACCGCCGGAAGATTAGAACTTTGTTTTCAATGTAAAAAAAAACATCAAATCATAGTTTTGTTCGAACGGGAAAATCCAGAGTGTAGTCAATTTGTAGCAAGTAGCATAAGCAAAAGCAACATTTGAAATTCTGTCTAGTAAACGAAAAAGATTTTCACCATAGATAACTATTGAACCAAATACAGATAGGGAAACTTGCATAAACACCACACAATTCTTATGGATTTATGTATCTAACACCCAAAGTCTATTATATACACTTGTACCCAAGGTTGTGAAAACCAGACCGGATATCAAATTGGAAGAAAGGTTCAAGATTTATTAGTTCGACCAAGGTTGGACCGGGGATCAAACCAGATGATGTAATAAATTAAAAAATAAATTAGATATGAAATGATTAATAAAATAATAATATAATAATACAAATATATAAATAAATAAACACATAACATACAACCACAATTTTCTAAATTTTTAAAGCAAATAAATAGTAATACAAATCATTGAGTACACTTATAACGGAAGCATTAAGCTCTCTTCCCTCAGAATAACCAACCTTACCGCAAAAAAAGTAATAATAATAATATTACCATACAAAAAAGCTGACCACATGCCATTGTAACCCCCCCTCCATTCTCACTCTCTCTTTAAATTATACATATATATCTAAAGTTAAAGTAAGTTCTAATTTTAGAATGACAAAAAAATAAAAAAGTAATATCACAATTTTCAAAAGAGGGAACGGATTCGCCGGTTTCTTGGTTGAACCTGCGGTTAAACTGGTTCCCGACAGTTAAACGAATTCCCGCAGGTTCGATGATAGAAATGGTCCATTATGTGATTCGGACTGGACCAGACACCAATTCATGGTCGGACTGATTAGACCGGTAGAATCGTTCGGTCCGGTCCGGTTTTCTAAATGTTGTTTATAACACCTTGGCGACATAAACCTACAAGCGAAAAGATGTATTTCACTTTTAGAAAGGCAGTAATGGCGGCGTTTTTCTTATGATTTTAATGATGAGTGGTATGCATGTAAATATGAATGTTTAGGTGTTAGATATGTAAATACATAAAAATTATGTGGTATGCATGTGGAAGCCCCATACATGTAAAATGGTGTGGCATTGGCTTGATGAGGATAGCAGCTACCAGGCTCTATCCGCCAAAGTTAACATCCATACATCAATGAACAAAAACCTAGTCTGTAAAGCATATTGTTAAAATATGTGTTATCAAGCAAGGAAGAAAGGCAAATGGTGCATTAAGCAACACAACATACAATAGACACGAAACGAAGGAAATGAAATTCAATAGAATAATAACATAAAACAACCTTATAAAAATTGACTTCGTTGGTAAGGTAGCCAGGCATAAAAGCCAACAGAAGCACGGAATGAAAATTTCAAAAATAAATGTTTGTGCCAACTTTTAAAAGAGGTGAAATCCAACTGTCTTTAGTATACATAATGCACAAAGTTCCTTCTATAAGTACCTCGGGAGAATAAAAAAGTACTCCTAAACACTCACTCACACTAGTCCTCCATGCCTAAACCCACCGTCTCCAGAATCTGTTACAGTATCCAAACCAACAGGGGAATCATACCACTTTGTATTTTCGGGGTAGAACCCATCAACCTGCATTGCAATGTTTTCTTCATGCCTCAAAGGCTTTATTAACTTTGAGTCCTCATCCTCACCACAATTAAGTATACTCTTTTCATCAAAGACACTACAATCTTCCTTCAATAACCATTTGACTGACTTGCAGCTATCCCCCATGAGAATCTTCTGCTCCTGGCACTCTACTGCCATGGAACCCCATGGCACAATGGGCCCAAGGGTTGAATGAAAATCAGTTTCATCCTCTTCAATGAGTTCAGCATCCTTATTGCCAAATATCCTGCCATGCTCATCAAAATCATGATTTTGCTCACTTCCCCACTGCCCTATGCTATCATCACCCATAACTAAGGATTCCTCAGAAAGTTGTTGACCTGTAAAACTCCTGAGCCTGTTCAGAGTATCTGTCAACTCACGTGAAAGTGTACTGAGCAACTCTGGTGGCATCTTAGCCATCTTACCCTCTAACAAGCCAGCCTCCACCCTCAATTCCTGGATTTTCTGTAGAATGGTGTGATGGCTATCACAACCATCTTCCTTAACCATAAGGTCTACAAAAGTTTCAGATTCTGTATCCTCTCGGACCCCATAAACCACAGGGTCAAATTCTAAACCGCCCTTGTGGCCTACCACCCTGTGAATAATCCTTGCATTTCCATCTAGGGGGCCTGGTTCATGCCCAGAATGCACAGCATAGAGCTTGAACACAGCTGTGCCCTCCTCGAGGTATACAAAAGTCTTGTCTTTTTCATTATAATTGGCAATGGGTACAATGGCTCGGATACGAAACCCACAGCCACATCGTTTTGACTGGTAAGGCTCCCTCTTCAGAACCCTTGGCTTCTTTGTAGAGGTTGATGCTGAAACAGATGAAGGTTCTCCAGCACGGTGGCATGTATAATCCTTTACCTCCGCCATAAAGGGTTTGTACCTTATATACTTCTGACGGATGCAAAGAACTACCTTGTGCTTGGCGGCCAGCTGCTGAAGCCTGCGAGGCACGTCCTTGGCCGGGACGTCAAACGACTCGGTGTATTCAAATCTGCGCCGCTTGGATCGGGAAGAAGCACCTCCGCTGCACGAAGATGCGCCAGCAATGGAGGTGGATGAGGAACAAATGGGACATGAAGATATGCAATCACGAATGAAGGATTCAGGGATGCCATAAAATTTGGCTCCAACTGTCCATGACTGCTTGATTCTGTCAACCGTCTCCTTGAGACCAAGGTGCCGGAGAAGGTCAGGGTCCGCATGGAAAGAGGCGACTATGTCCTGCCATTGCTCGAAATGGGAGACGCATTGTGCCGTGTTGTTCTTAAAGTAAAGAGAGGGGTTACCATGGTCGTCGATATGTGCGTGGAGCTTGTCCTGTATCCGCTTCCACGCCGTAAGGTACGCGGTGTCCTCGTTCCGGTCCTTCCAAACCAAGCGCCAAGACTTCAGCACCGACCGAGGCGTTGCCTGCCGGATTTCGTTCGGCGTCGCCAGTCGTCTCTCAAGGATGCAGCGAATCATCAACGCATGGGAATCGCGGTTGAAGGTGTAGAACTGAGAGGAGATGTGCGGCGAAGGGTCGACGTGCGGCATCGCTGCAGCCAATATGAAAGCGTCGGAGGAGTGCTTGGGGTCGGTCTTCCGCTCAAAGTCAGGACCATGGACCACACCGCCGGGGCCGGCGGGGGCAGGGAGTTCGTCATCCTCTTCCTCCTCATCGTCCATGTCAGGGTCTCGAAGGAGGAGGGAGGAGAACGGTGATTCGGGATGGTTGTCATCTAGGGTTCCGGTGGGGCTAGAGTTGTTAGGGTTGCAAACGGGGGGCTCGTGCTCCGTGTCGTCGTCGTCATCCAGGAGAAGAGATTCGGAGTGCAGGTGGTAGGATTGGAATATATAGTCTGCATCGTCGTCGGTGGAGACGACTACGCCATCTGCGGCTGCGTGGTGTGTTAGACCTAAGGCTGCGTTTAGGGTTAGGTTTTGGGGATGAGTTTTGATGGGGTTCATAGGGGTTATGGTGGGCGATGGGGATGATGACTTCGGCATCTACCCGCTTAACCTCTCCTCTCGATCTCGATCTCGATCTCGATCGCCCACTCTTTCCCTTTTTCGTTTTCTTGATGCAGTCTGAGTGAGGTTTCCCAATGCAAATGGACGGGGTTCTGCTCCACCGGATTAAGCTAAGAAACCTCTGAATGGGACCGCAAATAAGGACCCAGTAGTAAAGCAGTGCTGACTACAGGTTAAGTTGTACCTTTTGGTTCTATTACGTGGTGCCAACGGCAGAAGTTCATTAATTAACTCCGTAATGTTGTAAATCAGCGGACTAGTGCTTGTTTAATTATTATTATTATTATTATTATTATTATTTTATTATTGTTTTTTTAATTAACAAAGGTAAATACATGATAGATAAAATAAAAAATATTAGCCAATAAAAAAAATTTAGATTAAAATTCAATAGAGATAGAAAAAAAAAATTGTAATAAAATTTATAAAATAATGCATTACATGATCAATCATTAAGATCAATATATGAACTATATTAGAGAATTAGAAGTTATGAAGAAAAAAAAACTAACAAAAAAATATTATAATATTAAACATAAATTTTTTGTCAATCAATATAAAGACAATCATAACAAATAATTGTTTATGGTCCATAATACCTTAGTGAAAAAATAATCCCAATAATTGTATCCAAAATGTTGTCCTAACCTTCATGGCATATGACTTGGCTAAAAAATGCTATGAAACAAAGAGCATGGTATAAATAAAACACCAATTCGTTTAAAAAAAAAAAACCAAAAAAAAGATGGTGTGATGGAGATATTGAAATGCAAACAAAATTGTAATATTATCCATAGAGTATAGTGTAAGCGATCGATTATTACCAAAAACTAACTAATGTATTTTTATTAGTCGAGGAAGCTTTACCCTTCTTAAAACCATGAAGTCGTGAATTTTTGTTTACTTAGTTTAAACGATGTCATTGTTGGGTCTCAAGCCCGAGATAAAAAAAGTGAATGGTTTGTTAGGTAGTTAACAATCAATGTAAAATTTGTCGAAAGATCATGACATGAATCATTTAAATTCTTTGTAAATATTAGGGTGTCCCTTAGAATCGACATACTATATGACCTAAATATAGTGAAGGGTGTGCAAGGACCGCTACACCGGCGTCCTGGTGTAATGTCAAATAAGCAATGATTCCCATATTACAGACCAATGCGGGTAAAAAATTTAGTTCATGAAACTAATATTAGTATAAAATCTTAAAATATAGGCACTCTCATTGTTGTACTAAGTAATTATTTGATATTATGATTTATAAGAAGATAAATATCTTATGTATTCAAGAAACTAAATAGATTCGATATAAGGCTAATGAGTTTGATAGCTTAAGTTTTGAACTATAGTATTCTTGAAAAAGTCAAACTAAAATGATGCATTTGTAATTATGGATAAAATAATAATGTTATAAAAATTAATAAAACTAGAGATAGGATTATAACCCTAAATATTGTTGTTGATACTAAAATTTTTAATGTTATAAGTGTTTATTCTCCTCAAGTAGGTCTATATATATGTTCAAAAGAAAAATTCTATGATGACCTGGAATAATTAATACTAATGATACATTTTTATGAAAGAACTTTTATTGGATGAGATTTAAATGGACATCTTGGTAGAGTGGGGGAAGTTTTTAGAAATATTCATGGTGGTTATGATTTTGGAGTGATTAATGAAGAATGTAGAACCATATTAGATTTTAACTTAGCATATGATATTATTATTGATAATATCTTATTTAAGAAAAGAGATGAGCATATTTTTACCTATAAGAATAGATCTAATAAAACATAAATCGATTGTTTTCTTATGAGAAAAAAATATCGTCAAGTGTGTAATGGTTGTAAGGTCATTCCAAGTGAAAATTTAAGTACTCAACATCGATTATTAGTTTTAAATTTTAAGATGAAGAGTTGTAAGGTAAAGAATACAAGAAAATCAAAGAATTAGACAAACACCTAAAAATCACATATAAAATCATTTTTATGAGTAAACTTTACGATTTCAAGATTTAGGATGTTTATGAAGAAGCAAATTCTATGTGAGATAAATTAACAAGCACTATTAAATAAGTTGCAAAAGATGAGAATCAAAAGGAAAAATTTTTATAAATAAAAATAATTGGTGATAGAATAATAATGTTCAAGAAAAGATAAAATACAAGAAGTTATGTTTTAAATTAGTTTAAATGTAAGAGTTTATTGGGAAAAATATAAGGTGGCTTATATAGAATTTAAGAGAACAATTTGTGATGTTAAAAGTTATGTTTTTATTGATCTTTACAATAGAATAGATACTAAAGAAAGTGAAAAATATATGTATAAACTAAAAAAAAGAGAAAAGAAAATTAAAGATTTAATTCAAATCAAGTTTATTAAAAATGAAAATCAATAAGTATTTTTCTTAGAGAAAGATATACAATATAGATGGGTGAGCTATTTTGATAATTTTATTTATGAAGTTTCTGAAAATACGATCATCCTTAATGATCATAATATCATTAATAATAATAATAAATCTTATTTTTACTATCAGATTAGTTAAAAAGAAGTTGATGAGGCTTTGAAGAAAACAAAGAGTGAAAAATTAGTAAAACCTGATGATATCCTAATTGAATTGTGGAATTGTTTGGGAGATTTGAGAGTTTTTTGGCTCACTAAACTCTTTAATATTTTTTTAAGAACTTAAAAATTGCTTGAGGAGTACAGGAAGAGTATTTTTATCTCTTTTTTTAAAAAAAATAATAGGGATTCACAAGAAGGTGCAAACTATAAAGGAATGGAGTTGATATGTCATACTATAAAATTATGAGAGAGGGTAATTAAACTTAGGTTAGGACGTGTTACAAAGATTTCTCATAATCAATTTAGATTTATGTTAGCGAGGTTTACTATGAAAGTTATACATTTATTGAGATCTTTGATGGAGAAGTATAAAGGGAATACAGAGGAACTACTTATAATTTTTATTCATTTAGAAAAAGCTTATGAAAAAGTTTCAAGAGAAGTCCTTTGGAGATTTCTAGAGGAGAAATGTGTTGATATAACTTATATTTAAGTCATTAAAGATATGTATACTAGATTTGTTACTTGTGTTCGAACAAAATTAGGATTGGCCAAGTATTTTTGTATCTTTGTTGGAATACATTTGTGATTATCTTGAAGCCCATATCTTTTTTGCTTTAGTTATGGATGCTCTTATTAGACATTTATCAGACGATGCACTTTTGTGTATGCCTTTCATTAATGATATCCTTCTTGTGGGTGATATTAGAGAAAGAACTTAGGATAAAATTGAATTATAAAGGTCTACACTGGAGTCTAAAGGCCTGCATTGGACATTTACTAGTAAATGAGTTGTAACTATGGGTGATCTAATCATTAAAATGTGTGATCATTTTAGATATCACAAGACTATTGTTCAAAATGATGGTGATATAGATAGGGATGTTATTAATAAAATTCAAGCTAGTTGGTTGCAATGGAGGATTGCATCGAGTCTATTGTGAGATAGAAAAGTACTGCTTAAATTGAGAGGAAAATTTTATAAGATGGTGTGAGACCTATAATACCTATGGCACAAAAATGTTATCCTTTAAAAGAAAAGCATAAAACAAAGTTAAGTGTTGTTGAGATGATGATGCTTAAGTGGATGAGTGGCTTAACACTTAGAGACAAAATGTGAAACGAATATATCTGTGATATTGTTGACATAGCTTCAGTGGCAAAATATATTAGAGAGAGTCATCATAAATGGTTTGGTAACATTAAATGTTGACCATTTAAGATCATGTTTGGAGAGTTTATGTTTTAATTCAACTTATGTTAAGAAAGGCAGAGATAGAGCTAAAAAAACTTGGGCATCCTATATAAAAAATGATCTTAATCTATTACATTTGAATGAAATTATGACCCTAAGTAGGACACAATGAAGAAAAAGGATTCATGTAACCGACCCCAACCAGTGTGACAAAGGCTTGTTTTAATTGTAGTGATAGTTTAAACAACTGTAGAATTGATTTTAAAAATCATCCCAATTAATATAGTTGTTTTAGCACCAAACATTTCATTCTAATTTCCCACAAAATAATGTAAACCAATACTAAAATAATAACTAAGAAGATTATTAACAACGTTATGGTAAAGGGAAGGAGAATTACTTAAGATTTATTGCAATATGGGTTGAAAAAAAGAAGTTATTATTTGGGAGGAAGCTGTTTATTTGGCACATAAAAAGTGGCATCAAAAGAAAAGGTGAGAGTGGTATTATTGTGAATCATTTACAACTTGTATTAATATTAGACTCAAATAATGGGCCTCAACATTATGAAAAATTTTCAATCCTTCAATATAAGAAATCCAATAAATATAACATGTTTAATAGTGTTGCATTTTGATCCCCGATTACTGTTTATGTGCACAGTTTAACAATGTCATTGATGATATTTTTCACTTATGTTTCCTTACTTTGCAACAGAACAAAAAAAATTGATCCAATTTACAATGTGCACAATTGATCAACAAACTTTCTAGTTCAAAAAGACAATTACTTAAACTATAGATATTTTTATAGTTATTAAATTCAAATCTTTTTAATATTTTTAAGATTTTGACAAAACAGTAACAACCTCTAAAAATAACTTGAGTTTATGTAAAAGAAAAACACTTTATATGAAAATATATTTCTTTTTATCATGAATCAATAATAAGTATAAAATTTATGTTATGGAAGTATGCAAATTGTGTTGTGCCAAATATAAGCAATATTATTCTTTACCCTTATGATACACACAAATTATATGCATTTTAGACTCATATTTTATACTCATTTTTTGTGATATTGCACAATAATTGAATGTATTTTCTATGTTTTATTGTAGGTTGTTGATTTTAAGGACTTAGAGCAAAAATGATAAAATTTGGAGCAAAAATGAAGATTTAGAAGAATTACTCAGCACCAACGGAGCCAAAAGGACGCTGGACAGCGCAAACCTATAAAAAGGTTGCAGAACAAGAGTCAGCGCCGACGACGCCATTTGACAAAAA